ATAACTAAATTATTATAATTAATAACAATAAATTTGTTTTAAGAAACAAAATAATAAAGTTTAATTAAAAATTTTATATTATGTATTTATGTGTGTTATGTTTTTTATGTAATTATAATTAATTTTGTAAATTTATAATAATATAAAGATAATAATTATTTTTTTTAAATGCAAAAAATTTTATAAAGGACATTTTACTTTCTTCAATAAAATATCAGTTACAATCAAATTTCTAAGTAGTTGTGCAAACGAATAGAACAAAGGTAATCCAAGTTGCTTATCATTAATTATGCAACGAGAACTTGAAGGCGGAACAAGCATTACATAACGACTTGCTGCACCGATTATTTCGGTGCAATTGAGTCGGGTTTCGTCACCGACTCTTTATAGGTCTTCGATTAAGTAGGAAATCCAATTAGTTAACGATCACGGACACCTATTTCATTGCCTGTTTAGCTGCAACGTATAGCAAGAAAGATACGTAACTACTGATCAGATCTAATAACGTAATGTAACATTAGAAATCAGCCAATCATTAAACGAAAGAGAAGGCACAATCAACGACACGAAGTAACAATTTCTGCTCGGTATCTCGTTTGACATTTTCCGAAAACTATTATTACTTATCTATCGTTTGTAATTATGTAATTATAGTACTTGTTTTAGATATCTTAAGCCATACTCGCTGAAGATTAATATCTTATCAAATAGCAAATATTTTTCAACCATAATAAACCATAATTAATATTTATTACTTACTCATTGTATTAATTCAATTAATCGAATTTTCAAAATTGATTAAAAATATATTTACTTGAATTAATATCAAATGTACATTGAACGTTAAGTATCTTTTTAAATTATGAATTCTTTAACAATATTTTTCCATCCTCATTATTATAGCGACTTTATTTTAACATTCTCCACTATCTTGGTGCATTACCTTCATCGCGCAATAAATTATCTAGTCAGCTAGGGCCCTGCTCACAGAGGTAACTAGATATCTATCGCATAATATAATATGGACTTCTCGATGAATAATTTTCTACCACCATTACCTTGCCGTGCGCTACGGGAGCTTCGACCTTGACGATTTTGGGCGCGGGTGCGACCCAAGGCTGAGGCCCGTGCACCACTGGAGAAGCGTGCACCACAGGAGCCTCCCAGGGCTGCGCGATCTGAGATGCGTCAAACAGTCTTTTTCATATAATCGGAATCAATCGCCTCGATAACACGGGTGTTACGTGAAATTACTTTCCCGCCGAGTACGTCTAAAGATACTCGGTTGTCAGAAGAGAAATAGAACGAGCCTCCGTAGTCCGTGACGTTGATCAATCAGCGATGGTGTTTTAAGAAATGAGGAGTTATTACAGATTGAGAAAATTACGAAGAATAGAAGAAATTACAAGAATAATGTTTGATATAGAAACATCCGCAAAGACGAGAAGAAAGATTAAAGAAAATTTTGTTATTAAATGTTTAGAGTTACTAGAGTTGTTGCATATATTTATTGATCATATTAAATAATTAAATCTTACAGAGAAGAAGTTCAAGTAAAAACAAAATTGAAATGTCAAAATATAAGAAGTTAGACAAAATCAGTCATGCTTGATGAACGGCAATAATGATAGCGATGACTTACTTTTGAGAGATTAATTTCAAACTGAGAGATTAAAAAACTACAAATTTGAAAATGGCTGATTAAGAAGAAATAATTATACAAATACCTTGTTAAAGTGTATTTTCTCATCAAGATTTGAGTTGCTCAAATATTTGGATAATAAAGAATTTTAGTTATTTAAGAAGAAACAATCATCGAGAGTTGCTAAAAATTAATAATAAGAATGAAATAATTAAAGTTTGATTAATCACAAAGGTAAAATTCAGAGAAATAGTAACGTTGACAGATAATTTACATGGTGTTATTACAATTAGTGTTATACTATATGTTTTCGCACACAACAAAGAGAAATAATAACATAAATTATAACATTTATGTGAACTTCTTTGAATGATAATTATGAAGTACTTGCCTCATATCCGGCGCTGACGACTGCCACAACAGCAAACAAAACAATCTGTAACAATACAGCAATATAATGTTGCGCGATATAATGCACACGCACAATAGCAACATATAATAATATTAGATATATATATTCACAATGTATTCAAAATATGTTTATGTCATATATATAATGAAAAATATAAAAATCAACTAATCAATTTAATTCAATTATATATTTTAAATACTGTAAATGTGAAATATAACTGAAAAATTTTCTCTTTTCATATAA